CCTCAAAAATACATGAATCAAGATAAAGAAAGCATCCTTAGGGCTAACTCTAGCCCCAAGAGAATGTCTAGCCACTCATGAATGGTGTCCTCTAACCCTCAAGGGCTATCTCCATGGTAGAAATGTTCCTCTTCTTAAAGTAGATGGAAAACCTCTCAAGAATGTCTCTAGCCTCCTCTTCTCTTTTCTTCCTCTCTAATAATTGTCTCTAAAAACTATCTACCCAAAAGCATCTATCTAAGTATATGTGTAAAAGTGGTTCATATTCCTTATATAGGTAGGTTAAAATGTCACACCCAATAGTCTGGGCTCGCACATCAATATTCCTCCAATGATTGCACTATGAGCCAACCTTTAATGAGTTGGATTTTGTCTTTTTTCGAGCTTGAGGAAGTTCGATCGATCGAACTGTGGTGAGATCGATCAAACATGGCTGAGATCCATCGAATACTGTGGAGATCGATCATCTATAGTGGTGCCTTTTTGAATAAGGACAAATCTCTGAGATATTTTTGGGAAGAAGACAAAAGTGGCAGCTGGAGTAGTACATGTAGATAAGATCGAGCACTTCGATCGATCGAATAGCTATTGAGATCGATCAAACTTTATGAAATCTTGTGGATAAGGACAAAAGCTCAGATCCATCTTGAACTGCTTAGATCGATGAACTTTCAATCGATCGAATATATTCTGAGATCGATCGAACCTGCTAAATTCCATACTTTGCTTCAATCTGCTTCTACTTTGCTCATTTCTTCCATCCAACTTGAGTTAGCTTCTTTTAAGCTCTTATTTGGCTGAATTGGCTTATTTTGGGGATAAGCACCTAAAAAGGGCAATAACACGAAATTAGTCTAAAACGAGAAAGAATGATAGATAAAGGTCTTAGAATACCTATGCTTAAGGGGTTTAAATGCACACTTTTCAGCGCTCATCATATGCTTTAGTATATCAACACTGTTGAATGCCATATATTAAAAAATTTAATTATTTAGTATTATTTGCATAAGACTCTATTCACTCCTTCCCCCCCCCCCCCTCTAGAGTCACTATCTGGGCAACAATATGCATTACTAACTATACAACTTTCCTTGTAGATTAACATTTAACACAATTGTTAACATAATTATCATAAATAAGCATGCTAGCAATTAGTCAAGGCAATCACCTTTGCATACAAATTAGTACAACTTCTACATGTTAAGCATACTAAAAATTCTCTTCACATAGATGACATATATTCAACATCATTAAGCATTCATTTAACAATGCAATAACGTCGTTTCAATTATTTGTGTTACAGGTGAGGAATTTCTTACAACCAAGTAACATGATATATCACATAACTAACATATAAGAAGTCACAAAGTTAATGGAATCCATGAATTAGACACCCTTACGTCTTAAATGCGCAAACCCTAGCTTTGACTCCTTGTGAAACTCCACCAAAATACAGGCTATGGCTACCAAAATGAAGAGGAGAAGAAGATCAACTTTTTGTCTTAGAGCCACCTCAAAACCTACAACCTTGTCTTAGTCGAAAATCCAGTGGGCCCTAATGGCTAAAATACTTGCACCATCGTGAAGCTCTCATCATGCTATCTCATTTCTCTAACTATGGCATCCCCAAAATCCTAAGTTAAGCATACTAAAAATTCTCTTCACATAGATGACATATATTCAACATCATTAAGCATTCATTTAACAATGCAATAACGTCGTTTCAATTATTTGTGTTACAGGTGAGGAATTTCTTACAACCAAGTAACATGATATATCACATAACTAACATATAAGAAGTCACAAAGTTAATGGAATCCATGAATTAGACACCCTTACGTCTTAAATGCGCAAACCCTAGCTTTGACTCCTTGTGAAACTCCACCAAAATACAGGCTATGGCTACCAAAATGAAGAGGAGAAGAAGATCAACTTTTTGTCTTAGAGCCACCTCAAAACCTACAACCTTGTCTTAGTCGAAAATCCAGTGGGCCCTAATGGCTAAAATACTTGCACCATCGTGAAGCTCTCATCATGCTATCTCATTTCTCTAACTATGGCATCCCCAAAATCCTAAGTTATGGAGGTGAAAATCAAGCTTAATGATGAAGCTTTAGTGGAGGTAAAAAAGAAAAAGGAAGAAAAAGAAGAGAGGAGAGAAACAGAAAGAGAGAGAGAGAGATGCTGGATGAAAGGAGGGAAAAGGCAAAAAATGATGGTTCATTGTCCCCCCCCCCCCCCCCCCCAACACGTGTGGTGAAGTGGTGGGGTCCACCTTTGACCACCAAAAGACTAAAATGCCCTCACAAGCCAAATAAACCACAAACATGCCCTATACATGAAAATTCCACATATACCCACATGTAAGTATCAAATAACATTTATAACATGTAAATGAATCCAAAAAATAATCCCAACTACACAAATTCGGGCGTTGAACCCATACGGGACCTCCCGACCCAAAAATAAAAATAAAAAATGGCAAATTGTACCAAAATACATTTCTAAGAGTTCTAACCTCAAATAAATGTCCCAAATGACTCTCGGGACCCTCATGGCACTCTAATCGGTGCACAACACGTAAAATGATGTATAAAAATACTAAAAAAGGGACAAAAAAATCAAAAAATTCTGAGACGTCGTTTACATATAGACAAACAAAAGTACAAGTGAATACAAACAAATACTATATGGATATATATATATATATATACATCACCGAAAATTCTGTAAATTCTCCAAAGCAGGTGAGGTGAGAGGTGGGGAACATCGGCGACGCTTGCCCTCCTTTCATGCTTCCATTACTTCTGAGTCTCCGGCTGAGGGAGTTGGAGAGACAAAGTGGCAAGATGAGAAATGGAAGACGAAGTGGCAAGGTCACGATTCCAGTGGAAAGGTTGTTGGTTAAGTTCTATAGATGGGTTATGTTTGGGTGCGATTGGTGCAAGGGTTTTATAATTGGGTCTTGTGGCTTGGGTTTGTTGTTACTGTTAAACCCACTAACCCAAACACCATCTAAACCTAATTTCCCACAACCCAAACCCAGCCTTATGCCCATCTATCACTATTCATCTTCTTCAACGCACACATTGTCACAACTCTAAACAATATTCAAGGCCCAATTGCTCTAAACACAATTATAGGACCCCAACCCAAGCCACAAGACCCAATTACAAAACCCTTGCACCAATTGCACCCAAACATAACCCATCTATAAAACTTAACCAACAACCTCTCCACCAGAATCGTGACATTGACACGGCCTCATCGTTATAGTTTGTGCTCACACTCCGTCACTACCGATTCGTTTCTCATCACCGGTTCAATTCGTGTGCTCATCGATAAGTTCCGTGTCTTATCCGTTCTGTCTTGCCTTGCCTATTCATTCTGTGGCTATAATTCAGACCTATGTCCTCGCCATTAAATTATGTAGCTACAATTTTGACCCGTGTGCTCGCTGATTCACTCTATTGCCGCCGTTTAGTTTAGACCCGCGCACCGGTAAGTTTAGTGCAACACTGTCCTCGCGTGCTCGTCGGTAAGTCATTGCTTCACCGCTGTTCATCGCCACCGGTTCCTTCTTGCTTCATCGCACATCGTCGACTGCATATCACAAGCCTCATCGTTGTTCACTCATCCTTGCATCGCCAGGCAATTTCATCCCGAGCACATCCTTGCGTCGCCAGTGCGTGTATGTTGTCGGGTTACAGGAGAGTGTGAGAGAGAAAATGTAAAGAGAGAAGACCTAATCATGGGTAAGTCTGTAACTTTAAAATAATAAATATCAAATTTAAATTTAATAGTAAATCATAGGGTCAAATTTGACATTTCACAACCCATTTAACGGGTCAACCATGGGTTTGGGGGCAATTTGATCACTTTTTTAATTGTAAGGGGTTTTTTAAAATAGGTTGGGGGGTTATGATCAAAAATTGAAAGTAGTGGGTTTTTCTTTAAAATTAGCCCAAATTTCATTTTTATTTATTGAATTTCAGTATTTCCTACTACTATATTATTATTAGTGTTATTTCCTACTACTGTATATTAAATAAATTTACGTATTAAAATATTAAAATATTAAAATTTAATTATTGATATAGAATTATTTCAATATTGTTATTATTATTAGTATGTCCTACTACTATATTATTAAATAAGTTTTTTGATATTATATGTTTTATTCTTTCTACTATATTTTTATTATTAGTATTTTCTTCTCTAATTAGTTGTTCTTTTATTGATATTATATATTTCCTTCTCTAATTAGATTTTCATTTATTAAATTTTAGTATATTCTACTACTACTACTACTACTACTATTATTATTATTATTATTATTATTTCTTCTCTAATTAGAATTTCATTTGTTAAATTTTAGTATATTCTACTACTATATTATTATTATTATTAGTATTATTATTATTTTCTTCTCTAATTAGATTTTCTTTTATTAAATTAAATAAATAAATTTTCTAGTATTATTTATTTCCTTCTCGGATTAGATTTCTTTTTATTGAATTTCAATAGTTTAATTTTTTAATATTATATTTTTCCTTTTCTAGTTAGATTTCAATTTATTGAATTTCAATATTATTACTGTATTATTATTATTAGTATTCCTTTCTTTAATTAGATTTATTTTTATTGAATTAAATAAATAAGTTTAATTTTTCAATATTATATAATTCCTTCTTTAATTAAATTTTCTTTTATTATTATACTATTAAATAAATTAATGTATTGAAATACAGAAATTTTTTGTATAGTAATAAAATAATATATAAGTGTTTTCCAACATCTTATGCAACATTTGTCATCAGAGTATTTATTTGATTGCACACATGCCACAACCTCGCTCTCAATAATTGATACGGACGTTTTAAGAACAAATGCCCTAACAATATATTTGTGATTTAAAACGATGCTAGAAGAAAAATACACAATTCTAAAACATGGTATAGAAAAAATCATATTTAACCCATTTATTTGACCTAAAACACTATATAAAGTCTTATTTTATCTTTAAACATGTTTCAAATGGGACCTATTCGAACTAGTATTTCAAGTTGAGTTATGGACTAGGGTAGCAATTTTTCATTGATAAAATTATTTTCATCTCTCTTGGTGAAACTCCACAAATCCATTTTCTCCTAGGAGGGCAAAACAAAAAAATTCCCTTTTTGTAAGCTATATGCGCCAAACAGAGAGACTAAACACTAGTTTGCTTCTCTCAACTTTCTGTGTCATGAGTCGACCGTTGCTGTTTTAGCCATGCCGTTCTCTTCGTTTCCCGCCAAATCAATTGTTTGAACCTCTAAATTTCTCTACTGTTTTTCTTGAATATGAACTTGTGTTTAGAGTATCTAAACTGGCCATAAACAATATGAAATGGAATGACATGACTGGTCTTCCTCGTTGGTCTCTAATGGAGGCTCCAACCTCACTATCTCTCACATCTCCTTTGGATTCTTATGCATCTCTCCTGCAACAAACCCTTAGAAACAGAGACTCATTTGCTGGAAAATTGATTCATGCTCGAATAATCAAATCCGGGCTTCACCTTGGTGTGTTCTTGATGAATAACCTCGTCAATTTCTATGCCAAAACTGGGTCTGTTTCTGATGCCCACCACGTTTTCGATGAAATGCCTGTTAAGAACACTTCTTCTTGGAATACTGTTTTATCTGCATATGCAAAACAGGGTAGGATGGATGTAGCACGTCGCGTTTTTGAGGAAATGCCTGAGCCTGATTCTGTTTCCTGGACTGCACTGATCGTGGGTTATAATCAAATGGGTTGCTTTGAAAATGCGATTAAATTGTTTCTAGAGATGATAGCATGCAGAGTTTTGCCAACCCAGTTCACAATAACTAATATTCTTGCTTCCACTGCTGCCATTGAAGCACTGGATATTGGTAGGAAGGTTCACTCTTTTGCTGTTAAACTCGGGCTCAGTAGCTATGTTTCTGTGGCAAATTCCCTCCTCAACATGTATGCAAAGTCAGGTGATCCGGTGACAGCAAAAATTGTTTTCGATAGGATGAGATTGAAGAACACGTCCAGCTGGAATACTATGCTTTCGTTGCAGATGCAGTCTGGTCAGCTTGATCTTGCTCTAAACCAATTTGAGCAAATGACTGAAAGAGATGTAGTTTCTTGGAATTCAATGATTGCAGGTTACAATCAACTTGGATTTGATCTTGATGCATTATATACATTCTCCAAAATGCTCAAGGATTTTTCTTTGAAGCCTGATAATTTTACCTTGGCTAGTGTTCTATCGGCTTCTGCCAATCTTGAGGATTTGAAAGTTGGGAAACAAATACATGCTCACATTATAAGAACCGGATTTGATTCTTCTGGTCCTGTTGGAAATGCTTTGATCTCCATGTACACCAAGTCTGGTGGGGTTGAAATCGCTCGAAAGATATTAGAGCAAAGTGGGACTTCAAATCTCAATGTAGTAGCATTAACAGCCCTACTGAATGGATACATCAAGCTTGGGGATATAAATCCTGCCAGAAAGATCTTTGACTCATTGAGGGACCACGATGTCATTGCATGGACAGCTATGATTGTTGGTTATGTGCAGAATGGATTCAATGATGATGCTATTGAGCTCTTTAGATCAATGGTTAGACAAGGGCCAAAACCAAACAGCTACACTCTAGCAGCAATTTTGAATGTGAGTTCAAGCTTGGCTTCTTTGGATCATGGAAAACAGATCCATGCAAGAGCCATAAGGTCAGGGGAAGCATTATCTGTTTCAGTGAGCAATGCTTTAATTACCATGTATGCAAAAGCCGGAAGTATTAAGAATGCAAGACAGGTATTCAATTTGATACATTGGAAGAGAGATACTGTCTCTTGGACTTCAATGATCATAGCTTTAGCTCAGCATGGTCTTGGAGAAGAAGCTATAAAAATGTTTGAGAAGATGTTGGAAGTTGGTATTAAGCCTGACCACATTACATATGTTGGTGTACTTTCTGCCTGTACACATGTGGGATTGGTAGAGCAAGGCCGGAGCTATTATAATTTGATGCAAAATGTTCATGGAATTGAACCCACCTCAAGCCATTATGCTTGCATGATTGACCTGTTTGGGCGTGCTGGATTGCTGCAAGATGCACAAAATTTCATAGAAAATATGCCATTTGAACCGGATGTTATTGCTTGGGGTTCGCTTTTAGCTTCTTGTAAGGTTCATAAAAATGTGGAGTTGGCAAAAATTGCTGCAAAGAGAGTGCTTCTTATTGAGCCTGAAAACAGTGGGGCCTATACATCCCTTGCTAATGTCTACTCTGCTTGCGGAAAGTGGGAGGATGCTGCTAAGATTAGAAAGTCGATGAAGGATAGAGGTGTGAAGAAAGACCAAGGATTTAGTTGGCTTCAGATTGAAAACAAAGTCCATGTCTTTGGGGTTGAAGATGCCTTTCACCCGCAGAGAGACGCAATCTATCAGATGATTGAAAAAATCTGGAAGGAGATTAAAAAGATGGGTTTTATTCCAAACACTGAAGCAGTATTGCATGATCTTGAAGAAGAGGTGAAGGAGCAAATTCTTAGACATCACAGTGAAAAGCTTGCCATAGCATTTGGGCTTATAAATACTCCAGAGAACACTACTTTGAGGATAATGAAAAATCTTAGAGTCTGCAATGACTGTCATACTGCCATTAAATTCATCTCCAAACTCGTCGGAAGAGAAATTGTTGTGAGAGATGTCACACGTTTTCACCATTTCAAGGATGGTTCGTGTTCTTGTCGTGATTATTGGTAGAAGTCAACGAAGATTTCCCCAATACATACATGATATGAAGATATAAAACGAAAAAGTGGATGAGAATAGATGCCTTTGCATTTACCATCAAAAGGTTCAGCTTCAGGTAACAAACAGATCCTGCTTTCACTGATCTGTCAGCACTTTCTTGCTTTCGAGTTTTGTGCAGAAACTGTGGCTGGATACCTGGATCTACGTAGGAATTCTACTTGACGGGCTTTAATCAAAGACTGTGAAAAGGAATATGTTGGTGTGTTGGTCTTTAACTTACTGATAATAATTACCGCACATTGTTTTACCCAGGTGGTGCCCTCCCGGTATGTTAACCTGCTGCTATTTTGATAGGTGTGTAGTTCTCACAGAAATCTAACTTCAAATATCAACCCTTACATCATTTATCTATAGCTAGATTAAGATTTTCATTGTAGCTCAGAATATTTTACAGGATTGGAAAATAATTATTGTAAAGTATGTGAAGTGGGCCCAAAGGCAAATTCTAGGCTGGGTACTTCTTTTTTTGGAATGCCTACTGAAGCTCTGAGGATGCATGTCAGATGCTTAAGTGATGTAGGAGTCCAATTTGTGTAATCCCCAAAGAATTTATATGAGTTTATGGTACCCAATTCACTTCGTTGTTCACAACTACAGAGCTTTATTATCTTCTTTTGTGTAATTGCAATTAGGGAAAACTAATGCTTGGTGAAGTTTGTATTTCTCTTTTGAACGGCGATAGACATGAATCACATTCTTAGGGATGGCAATGGGGCGGTTTGGGGCGGGTTTCCCATTCCTCATCCCCGCCCCCGTTTAATTTTGGTGCCCCCAAAACCGCCTCATAACCGGTTAATTTTTTGCCTCTAATCCCCATAACCGCCCCCGCCCCCGCCCCACTTGCCCCGCCCCCGCCCCATCACCCGCCTCATAACCGATTATTTTTTTTTTAAACACAATCATAGCACATATACACATATATATACATATATATATATGGAAGTGTTAAGTGTAGGGCTTCCAATATATATATAGAGAGAGAGAGAGAGTGAAGGTTTATTTGGTAAATATATTAATATGGTAGATAAATTAATAATTTAAAATATTAAACGGGGCAGTTATGGGGCGGGTATGGGGCAGGGATCTTAGTCCCACGCCCCCGCCCCGCAACCGGCCGGTTTTTTTTTTTAACCCCCATTCCCACCCCATTTAAGTAAACGGTTCTCCAAACCCGTTTTAAATGGGGCGGGGACGGGACGGTTCCCCACCGGATTGGGGATTTTTGCCACCCCTACACATTCTTACTCTTCATCACTGTGATTCTGCACAAGTAGCCACTTCTAGAAATATATATTATTATTATTATTATTATTATTTTTTTTTTTTTTTTTTTTTGCATCATGGATCAGATATATCATGGCGAATTCTTAAGAAAAAATTGTCTTCCACAATGGAATCGGATAAGTGAGATTTCGAGTAAGTGTTTACATAATCTTCTTTTGTCCGAAGAAATGATTCATCGAAATAATGAGTCACCATTGATATGACACATCTGAGATCGCCAAATGTTCGAGAGTTCCTTTATTCAATCCTTTTCCTTCTTCTTGTTGCTGGATATCTCGTTCGTACACATCTTCTCTTTGTTTCCCGGCTCATTCATTTAAGTACCTTTTGCAAGTGGGATTGGAACTATAATTCCCAAGGGAACATGCTATCCTGCATGTTCATACCCGAAGTGTAAATTCCATTTGCAGGCAATCCTTTTTCTATTTATCCTATCAGTGTGAATATTGTAGTATTCTTTTGGTTATTTATAAAAGCTCTTCATGAGACATGTAAAACATATGGACTCAACATTCTTAAATCACCTTAAAATTTCTGTGCGTGAAATTCATCATGTCATAAATCGGGAAGCATTTGTGAAATATTTGACTCTGAAGCCAGCCATTATGCCAAAGACTGTCGTCTAAGTTCACATTGATTATGGTACTTCTGGAAAATTTTCTTGGTTTATTGCACAAGTATTTCAGGTGGTTGTAGATTTACTTCACTACATGTTCACATCGATTATGACATTGTAGATAAGGCTGGTGGTGCTGCATTGCCAAGCTGGGTTTTAAAGCAAGGTGTGGTTCCTGCTATAGTTATCATTTTAAAGGTCTTCAATCACCTTTAATAACATTTTTTTCTCTTTTTTCTTTCTATTATAATTTTCATCAACAACTTGTTTTGGTTTCTTTTGATTTTTCTTTTCTTTATTTTTTCCTATTAGCAATTATAATGGCTCAGAAAATTCGATGTAAAACCTTTGGTGAAGACCCTGTATGCCCTTCTGGTGGAAATTGCATTATGCTGGTGTTCTGGGACGGAAAGGCTTGCTTTGGCTTGTTGCACCACTATGTAATCGTAGGCAGCTCATACACAGGCAGGGGAGGATCATGCGTGGGATCATAGGCAGCTCGTCCACACGGCAGGCAAGGGGTTATGCGCGGAATTAAGACGGAGATGGACAGAGTGAGTCTTTCCCTCCATGATTGAGACTATGTCTTGACCATGCAGTGATCAAGATCGATTTAAGAAAGGAAAAAAAAAAAAAAAAATCATTTTTTATCAGTAAATTCTGCCTTTTCAATGCGGACTACTTCATTTACATTATCTGATAGTGTTCTGCCCTCTTGATTGCTGCGAAGTTTCTCAACAGGGAGTTGTAAGTTTTCCCTCTTCAGATATTACATTCTCCATATGTAATAAATTCAGCTTTTGTTTTGCTTTCTTTATTCATGCTGAAGACTCTGCATAAAGGTTCCAGTTTTCTTGTTAAATACAGTTTTCTTTTTTCATAACATAATGGTGTTGGGAATCGTGCAAGTTTCAAAAACTTTCAGAAGAATTTTCATATATAGATCTTGATTCATCACATAGAGTTAAGTTTTATGCAAAAATAAAATATGATGTATCATTCAATTAAAAAATTGAATACTTACATCAAAGGTTTGAGTAAACCTTAAATCTCTCCTCTAAAGCGAATGTTCTCACTTATTGTAAATCTTTTTACTAAATGCCTCCTCCTTGGATGTCCATCTTCTTGGTAATGATCTTACCTTTAGGAATCACCCATAAGCCTCCATGAATGACCTTGAAAAGTTAAGCTTGTGGGAGCCTCCATTAGATGAGAATACAAATCCTCAAATTCTAGAGAGAGAAAATATATTCCTTTTATTTCCAAAAGTCTCCCATAAAATATACATGGACCATGTATATATAGGCAACATAAAGATAAGAAAAGAAAACAATAAATCCTTCTCAATTTCTAATTCACATATCTCAAATCTAATAGAATTTCAATATCAAGTTGGACTATGAGTGAGAATCCTTTGGGCTTATTATTTTCTTAGCTACAATGAATAAATAATTGGCCCCGATCCATAGACCCAATTCAATTAATTCATAAATTAATTTCTACTCCACTAAAAGAAATTAATTGAACTCCAATTAAATAATAAATAACATCTAAATCAATGTTGCACTTTGATCCCTCTATGTATAATTAGTTATCGAATAAATAAAGTCATCAATCCGACTACTTAATTAATATATTTATTTTGGTACTTTTGATTATTTCCGCCTTGATCACAATAAAATATTTGTTTGACAAAAATAATAATTTAAATAAATAAATTATTTTGTCTAAAAACACACAAAGGCTTTCGAATTTACTTTGTGATCAATCATAATCAATACAAAATAAATACAAGTAGCAATGATGCAAATATTGAAAATATAACCCTCTAACTATTAATTACATAATTACCCAAAATGCTAGTCAAAGAATTCCGAAGATTTCGCCGAACAAATCAAAGTAATTACTAATTAATAAAAGAGTCTATACTTCTTTCATGCTTAAGAGTCAAATGCCATGACGGTGGTAGGGAGCAATTGCATACGACGACTCTCGCAATATATCTCAATCTAATGCGAATCCAGTTCAAATCTTAGTTAATAATGAGTCTATCCGTAATTACTGACTATGAATAATTTATGATTACTATTATATTCCTGTATTGATCACCATCACATACATATTTAAATATCTCTTGTAATCAAATGGACACTATCAATTCCATAATGAATCGAAACATAATATACTGAATTCATCAATTATATAAATCATAAATATTTCAGATATGTCAGGAACATATGTCATTAGTCACTATAATCCAAATATGAATTTGTTATGCCAGGGCATATAAATCCCAATAGCTCTCACTTGCCCTCATAGCCAATTCTAATTGCATCTAACTCCAATGATATCGAGGTGATGATCAAAACAATTGATCGATGACACATTTGTTAATGGATCAACAAAGTTGTGTTCTAATATAATGTTCTAGCCACGAGTACATTTTCTTACCAGACAATATAATGTCAATACTTCCTCTCACTGTGCCTTGTTCCTCTATGGAACCTTGGGTCATTGGTTTGAACTACTTCTGCACTATTGTCACAATATAGCTTGATAGGCAGGTTAGTACGCTCCACAACCTCTAAATCAGTGAAATCAAACCAAAAGGCTTCATTTGCTGCCTTTAAGGCTGCAATGTACTCCACCTTCAAGTTTGAGTCAGCAGTTGAAATCTTCTTAACAATCTACTAGCTGATTTTCCTTCCATTGAGTGAACATATACCAAGTCATGAACCTTATAATAGCTACATCTGATTTAAAATCAGAACTAGCATACCCGACTGGAACCACATCATCACATCCATAAATGTGTATGAGATTATTGGTTCTCCTCAGGTACTTTATTATATTTTTCACAACAGACCAATTATTAAGTCAGGGATTGGACTCATATCTAGTGACTATCCCTACAATGTAGCGAATGTCCTGTTTGGTATAGATCATGGCATTTCTGAAAATCCCACATGCCGAAGCATATTATTCCATTCTCATTTGCTTAATTTCATTTGCTAGTCTTGGAAAACTACTTACTAAAAAGAGCAATCCATATCAGTAAAACAAGAACTCATTCTTTGGGTTTTGCATACCAAACCTGGTCTAAACTTTATTAATGTAGGATTGTTAAGATAAGCCTATTTTCCTTTTAACCCAATCTTGTAAAAAACTTGATCCTAGGAATATAGGTTACATCTTGAAGATCCTCCATTTCAAAGTAATTGAACAACTACCTCTTTACTGATGACAAAACTTTCCAAGTCATTCTAAATGCGTAGGATGTCATCAATATATATATAATTAGAAAAATAATGACATTCCTTGTACACTCGTGATTTATTCACTAAGAAATCTTCTGGTATTCTTTTGTAGATTAAGTTGCCTTCCATAGGTATCACCCTATTAGAAAGTTCTACGAGATCCCAGATTTTATTAGAATACGTAGATCCCAACTCTGATTTCATAGCAACTTGCCAAAACGATCTGTATCCATATCAGTTCACACTTCCGTGTAGCTTACTGAGTCCAACTCATGTTTAACAGGGATGTCCATAATGGTCTCACCTAAAAACATGATTCTGTCAGATTGGATGATAATCCTCCCACTACAACAATATACCAATGAAGGAATCTGTGTACTATATAATGCTGACGCATCAATAGGGAATTCATGTATAATTCTTAATCTCTATAATAAGTGTGTTAACAT